AAATTCTTTCTGTCTTATTAGAACATCTTCTATGTTATTTGTATGGTTGCCAATATTTCCCTGTATTATTGAATCATAACTTATTTATCTAATTCCATTTTTTGTAGATTTATGTTTTCAATTACAATGTTGTGATAAGGTTTTTATGAACCTAATACATTGGTTCTACATTGACCTAATAAAGAAGTCATTATTATTTTCTCAACATAACCATTCTTTTTTTAAGTTTTATTTTATTATGTTATGTTAGTCACCATTCATTACATCATTGTTTTTGATATAGTGTTCTATGATTCATTGTTTGCGTATAACACCCAGTGCTCCATTCAATGCATGCCCTCTTAATACCCATCACCAAGTGAACCCATTCCCCCATCCCCCTCCCCTCTATAACCCCCAGTTTGTTTCTCAGAGTCCATAGTCTCTCATGGTTCGTCTCCCCCTCAGATTTCCCACCCTTCATTTTTCTCTCAACATAACAATTCTGAAGGCCTAATAGCCCATCAGAATAGTTTTCAGTAGCTTTAATTTTTGATAACTTTTTTTAAAGATTTTATTTATTTATTTGACAGAGAGAGAGTGCACAAGCAGGGGGAGTGGCAGGCAGAGGCAGAGGGAGAAGTAGGCTCCCAGCAGAGCAGGGGGAGCCCGATGTGGGACTCGATCCCAGGACCCCAGGATCATGACCTGAGCCGAAGGCAGTCACCTAACCAACTGAGCCACCCAGGCACCCAATTTTTCATAACATTAACTGAGAGTATTCTCTTCTTCATAACCTTGCCATAGTGCATTATATCATATTGACGCTATACACAAAAATATTATCTTCTTTCTTATCTTGTAACCCTAAAATGTCTGTCATACCATTTCTATTTTTTCTCTAGAATGTTTTTCATTTTCTTATTTAATTATAGGTATTCTTTATAAACTAACATCATTTACTATTTGTCTTACATATTTTCAAAATATTTCCCCAATTTTGCATATTAATATTTTAAGAGTTATAAATGTGTTGTAGGGGCAGGTTATGTGATCAAATCTGTAATGCTTTACCTTTAGGATTTCTGCCTTTATTTATTTATGTATTTATTTGTTTGTTTGTTTGTTTTTGAAAGAGAGAGAAAGAGTATGAGCAGAGAGGGGCAGAAGAGGGAGAGAATGTTAAGTCCCATGCAGGACTCAATCTCACAACCCTGAGATCATGATCTGAGCGGAAATCAAGAGTTGCCCACTTACCTGACTGAGCAACCCAGGTGCCCCTACAATTTCTGCCTTTAATGCAATGCTTCAAATGACATTGTTTATCCCACAATTGCTTTTAATCAAATTTTATTTTGTGTAAAGAATTGTATAGTTTCACTAGAGAACATTCAAAACCTTATTGTGTCTGAATTTATTTTACTGTGTGTAATGATGTTGTATCAATTGCATCAAATAGGAATTACATTTAAGATATGTGATGTACGAACTTATGAACTAATTATTTCTTATATGCAATATTTATTACCACAAACCATTACCATTAATTTATATTTCCTTTGCTGGATATCAATTTGTATTTCCTTTATTATCTTACTTATTAGCAAGAATTTAAAGGAATTATGTTTTACTGGATTTTATTCACCCATTCATTCAATAAATATTTATCAAGCCCCTATACATAGTATTTATAAAAGGTTCTCAATGCACACTTGTTGAATGAATGCATACAACATGGCAGGCATGTCCTAATAGCAGAAACACAGAGGTGAATAAGACATGCAAGGTGTTTCCTTTTGTGGAGCTTGTGTGTGTGTGTTTGTGTGTGTGTGTGTGTGTGTGCACATGCACACGTGTCTGTGTTTTATTTATTGTGGAATGTGGAAAGTGATAAACAAGTAAATGGATAAAATAATTTCAGGTGGTGATATCGGCTATGATTTAGTGAGTGTCTCAGTAACTCAGCCTGTTAGATTAATTACGAAGCCAGTTATTTTCACTTGTCATTTGGACTGAGCCAAGCACTTAAGATAATCTTGTTTGGGGCAAGACCACCCCCAGCTGTCCCTGATCTAGCACTTCCCCCTTGTCTGCTTCTGCAGGAGTGAGACCCAAGAGCTGTCCAACTGCTGGCCCCTGCACAGGTACATCAGCCCCTCCTGCCTCCCCTGTTGGCTCCCAAGAGCTCCTGCCTTCCCAGCAGGGGCAGTAGCAGAAGGTGCTGCTGCCTTTTCAGACAAAGAGAAGCTCCGACTGAGGGGAGGAGACACGGTGTGCTCAGGGCGAGTGGAGCATCTGGCTGGATGAGGTGCAGTGCAGGGGCAGGGAATCCTCCCTGTGGGCTTGTAGTATAGATCTCTGAGGGCAGAGCAAATGCAAGCAGGAGACAATGCTGGAATGAGGTGCACTAGTGAATGGAAGGACCAGGGTATTGGCCTAGGATCCAAGGACACGTGAGCTTGTATCCAGAAGTATTTCCTGGACTAACTTTGTATTGTGCTCTGGCTCCAGGAGAGGCCTGATCTGCTGGGATCTGGGAGAGAACAATGTGCCGTTGATGTAAGTGCAACCCTATGGCTTTTCTAGGCCAATTCAACACAGTGATCCCATTCTCCTTCTCTTCTCTCCAGGTTAGAGGACAATAGTCTCCTCTTTCATGGACATAAGAGGTTCTTCTACTCTGAGCCATATGATAGAGGAGACACCCTTATTTTCAGGGACTTACACTATGGAATCTACATATTTCTGGAAAAATTAACCATGTCAGTATAAGAAAGGCCTAATGATCAGGTGTTCATAGTCCTATTAAGTTGTGGCAGCTGTAATGCTCCGAAGATTTACCAGCTTTCATTTTCTAAGAATCCCTTGGAACCAGATTCACAAGAGAGTTGACACAGCTCAGGGCAGGACCTAGGTCAATCACATCTTGAGATTCAGGCAAACCCATTGTATCTGAATGGTGACTTCATGGTCTTGAGGACTCGAGAGATGACTGGGATAAGGGGGGGATTCTCCTGGGCTTATGTCCTCTCTAAAATCTCATGGCCCTCTTTTCTCCTCAGGCACCAATTCAGGCTAAGCTCCTATCCCTGGCATCTTCTCCCTACCTAGGATCCTCTCTGTATCATCCTGGGGGACCTTCTTTCCCTGGACTGTATCATCCCAGTGATTCAACTACACAGATGGAGAGCAGAGCACCAAGGTGGGCCTTAGGGATGCTAAATGATCTGAAAAGTAGTGGGAAGATTATTAAGCCAGTTGTGCTATCAAGAAAAGTGCACAAGTATTGGCCTCCATCCTCATTAACTAACAAAACTCCCCCTTCTCTAGAATAGACTTCAAGGCTTGAAAGAATTGAATCCTTGGTCCTGGGTTGAATATAAAATCTCTCAAATATAATGACTTCTTAAGGGAACATTTAGTGGAAACTGAAAAATCAGTGGAAGTTGAAAACTCGTAGTAACCAGCTTTCTATTTTGGTTTTGTTGACACCATGCATCAGAAGTAAAATATAATAATCTTGGTGGGTATACTTTATTCCATCATTAACGTCATTACTTCCCAATGGCAAATGGCCATGTATATTGCACTGAGAGAAACCTTGGTTATCTTCCAATCCCCATGCCCTGCCAAAAATTATGACAATTGCAAAAGTGATTTTAGGTTGGAACCCCCAACAACATCCAGAGCCATCAGTTAAGTACTAATAGGTTGGGCTTGGCTCATGACCAGGTCACTACTCTCAGTTCAGTAACCCCACCACACGTTCACTATATGATGGGATGTTTTGGAGACATAATCTTTCCTTGGCTACTGCTACAGGATAGCTCTCTCTATCTTGAAGAATCACATTTGCATTGTAAATAGTAACCAGATCAAAGGAATCTTGGAGCAATATGTTTTCAGAGAAGAAGCCCACTGGTCTCAAATTCTTCCTCTACTAGTTCAACCATGTCACCACTCCATCCACATCTATAAAACCCATGTAGCCAATAATTCCTGATTTATCTATCTATATTCCTTCTGGATCTCCTCTGCCTGGGTCTCTTCTTTGCCTTCTTGTCCCACTTGGATGCAGGTCTGTCAGTCAGTGCCAATTTGTCCTTTATCAACTTGCAATAAAGAAAGATAACAGTTGATATAATTCACTTAGAAGGCTTTATAATTGGACAGACAAAAAATGACAATGTCCTGAATAAATAAGAAGTGATGGAGAGGAAAGACGGAATTTGAAAGGAGATGATAACTAACTAGATATGAGAGAAGAGTGAGAAGGAATCTGTATGGGCTTGAGTAATAAATGGGAAAAGTAACCTAGGGAATAGGAAGAGATAGTAATGGAGAATTGGATTTTTAAAAAAAGTTTTTGAGAGAGTGAGCAAGTGCTTGAGTGTGGGGGAGGGGGTAGAGGGAGAGGAGAGAGAGAATCCTAAGCAGGCTCCACACTCAGCTCAGCGCTGAGCCCAAGGTAAGGCTGGATCTCATAACTGTGGGATCATGACCCCAGCCAAAATCAAGAGTCAGACGCTTAACTCACTGAGCCATCCAGGTGCCCCAAATTGGATTTTTAATTGATCCATGAAAATTTGGGCAGGATAGGAAAGCTGTATCCATTCTCTCTCCTAGCCAACCTCCCACCCTCAACTTTGAAATTCCTACCCACGTCTAGTACCTAGGAATTGTTTAAAAACAGATGATACCACATCTCAAGGAAGAGCATACATGAATGTTCAGGATTGGTTTTTTCCCATGAGTTCATCTTGGTAGGAATGAGGGCATGAGTATGGACCAAGGTTAGAGTCCCTTGTCTAAGAAAGAGAGACTGGAACATTCATGAACTCAGGCAAAGTAAGGCCTTGAGTAGCCCATAGGGGAGGTAAGAAAACAGGTCAATATACTCACCTTATATTTCCTTGGAGGGAAACTGTGAATCGAGATAAAACTTGCTAAATAATCAACAAAGCAAAAAGTACTTTATTCAGAATATTTAATTTTAAGTAATTTCAGACGAGATCGGGCACGCTCAGGGTGGGATGACCGTAGACTAAGTAATTTCATATAATACAATTATAAGTCAGCACTACTCTATTGAAATACAGGCAATTAGAATATCCGAGGCCTTATCTCATTTTTAATGCAACATCATGGGAAAACCATAGTGGATGTTCCAAGGGCATTTAGTTCAATGTCATCATACCCAGAGTTCACTTCTTCCCCCTGGAGCAGCCAGGGATTAGATTCTTCTTTCCCGGGACCAGCCACCCCTCTAGAGAACTGTAAAGAAGAGCCTGAAGCAGTAAAGAGAAGTTTGATTAGAACTGGGACAAAGGGACAGGACAGTGCCCCATGGTGGAAGCAAGTCAAATAAGTGGTGATGATGAAGCATCAAGTAATGTTCAAGGAGACTCAGACAATTTAATATAGTTACAGTAAAGATATATCAAGGTTATCCTATCAGGATCCAGTCCATGTGGGTCTCTAGGAAACACTGTTATCACAGGAGATCTATGGCCAACACAGGTGCTCTATGAAGACATGTTTCTCAGCAGAGATGGCCCAAGAATGGTAAGAATCATAAGAAGGGACATGAAAATTTCTCCTTTCACAATTTACAGATCTGAATTCAAAAAGAGAAGGGCACAGGAGACCTGGAGAAATCTCAGGTCCTCACTGACAATCCCACTCTGCTCTTGATGGCCTTGACTTGTGTTCCCAAATGCCCACAAAAACAACCACAGGATCTCTTCCATACTTGCCACCTCCCCAGTGTCACACTGGCCCTCAAATGGAGAAACACTCTTCTCTGGAGAATGAGTGTCTTCATTTGACCACTGAAATGTCTGGAACAGATTGGCCCTTAACTGCCCAGAAATTCAGACTCTATAATCCACCATCATGGCTTTAATTTTCAAGGCTACCATATATCATAGACTTCGTACATATTAGTGCTAACATGATTGCAGTGCATCTCAAATTATTAAATGCCTCACAAATTCCAATATTGCAATATTTCTTAAATCTCTAAATGCCTTTCACATATGAGACAGCACAAAAATATTATCAGAACAGTCGTTCTATTTTTAGACTTGGTAAACTAATCTGTGTCTTAATGCAAGCACGTCAAAGATGAAGTTATGGAGACGCAGATACCAAGAATATAGTGATGCTCCCCCTCCCCAAGGAATGTGAGAGCATGAAAGAAAGGAAGATGGTCAAAGGATATGAGATCATCTGAACTTTGAGATCATCTGAATTTTGAATCTATAGGTAGGATGAGCAATAAAAAGCTCAAATCACCCTTTCCAGGACAGAGACAAAAGATTACAAGAGATCAACTAACCCCACTCACCTCTCTGAAAGGCCCTCTTCCCATTCTCTTCCTCTGGGGGCACTTCCCCCTCACTCATCCAGGAGGCAGGAGGAGGCTCAGGCACTAGTACCTCTTCAGCATTATCATAATCCTCACTAGGGGCATCAGTCCTCTGAGCTGGGGATTTTAAGGGCAGACAAAGGGGTCAGATGAAACCACAGTAAATGGGTTGGCCTAGGTAATACCTAAAATCCCTTCTGCCACAGAGATTCTGATGGCTGCTAAACAGAGGCGCTATTCATTTCGTGTTTTAACAGGTCTTTTCCAAGGTCATATACTTCATTTTATGTGTCCATAAACCAGAAAAATAATCCGAACACCTCAATATTTCCTGATTAAAACTACGTATTTCAAAGAAACTCTTACACCATTGTGCCTTACTAAAATATTTGGTCAATTACACTTTCCAGATGTTATTTTTCAAAACAATGTGTATTTGTTGCAACTGAATGAGGGTGGTTCTGGACACAGAAAGCCCAGCCTCACCATGAGGCACATCAGAGCAACCAGAGAAGGAGAGAAGAGACCCCTCTAATCCCAGTCAAAGGAAGACTGTCCCTCTTGAATCTCATCTCTATGAAGGGAAGTCCCCTGCCCCCAATACCCAGCCAAGGCAGATTCACCCCTACTACCTGGAGCAGATTGAAAGTCACTATTCTCCTCACCATCCCCAATGTAATATGGCAGTTTAGTCACGGAGTCATCTGACAGGGCCCCTAATGTGGAGAAAAAACATCACAAAACAAACAGAACACACCCTCTCACACCCATGGGACATGTGGTAAGGCTGAGAAGAAATGCTGGAGCATGATCTATGGCTCCTGCAGTATAAAGAGAAGGCTCAGAGCTCACAGGGGCTCAGTAGGAACCCATTCTGCTGCCTTTGGAGGAGCTGCTTCTGTGAGCATGGGATAGGTATGGGCTCTGCAGAGAAGCCTTGGGTCACAGACAGTGGGGGGCTGACAACTAGAGGGCACAGGAGGGCAAGGCAGGGATACACACCATTGCTGCCCAGCAGATCTTTCTTCGTTGTCACAAGATAATCAATCTCCTCGTACACAGCCTCATTGAGAACATCTTCAAAACTGGGTAAGGCTGAGCAAACCACCAGCAAGTGAGAGATTGCCCCCTGAGTTCATCCTGAACCAACAAGCTAATCATTCTTCCCAGTGCTCACACAGGGAAAAAGCTTCAGGGCTGCCAGGACTCCTGAAGAGTCTCCTCATACCCCATGTACCATGTCTGCACCTCTCTCCCTTGTCTGACTCTGTGTCCACAGCTCAGCCCCTATTCTTTCTTGTCTCACAGAGAAGCCATGACTTATGAGTGTTCAATCCTAAGAGACTCTATAGATTCAGCCCTTAGAGTTTCATGTGGGGCAGATGGAGTTTTTCAAACACAGTTTCCCCCCTCTCACACCTGGCCCCATCTCCTGCCTCCACACACTTCCCATGTTACCCTGTACCCCCTATAGCCCACCTCTGCGCTTTGCTCTCCAACTGTACATCTGAGTCACCAGGATGACGAGGACCAGGAAGAAAAGGGCCCCCAGGATGAGGCAGAGCATCTCAGACAGGGAGAAGATGCCACGGACAAGATTTGGGCCTGGTCTGATCCCTAAGGAGAATAAAGCCAATAGGATTTGGAGTAGGGCACGGACCCAGGGAAACTCCTTTAGCATTTCCAGAGCACCCTGGGCAAGTCCCAGCCTCAGACATAACAGGATTGACTCTGACCCTGCTGGGCACTCCCCCAGGCCTTGTCCTGAGATAAATTGAACTCCACTCCAGTGAGGTCCAAGGGAGTGCTGGGCCAAGTGACACAACTGCAGCCCCCTTTCTTCGGGCTTCCCCAGACCAGAGCATCAAGCGACTCCTGGGATAGGCATCTAGCTGCAGAAAGGTGACACTCATGTTCTTGCTGTGGAGGAGTGACATTCATGGGCAAATGGGAAAACCTTAGGTTCTGTAACAGGAACCAGCCTCCCTTGGCCCAAGGGCAAGGGAAATTTGAAGGGAACTAGAGGAAGCTTCCCCAAGGAAAAATGCCCTAAGACCTCCCCACCAGCAGATGGCTCTTCAGGATCTTTCCTTTTCTGAGTTGGCTAATTCTGTCAGATTCCACAGAATAGGTCCCAAGAATCTGAATATTCTCCCCTGCCTACAGATCGTGGCACTGTACCTGCTGTAGTAGACAGCAATACTGTTCTTCCACCTAGAGAGAAAAACAGGAGTTTGCAGTACAGTAATTGGTCAGAGTGCAGGGCAGCCCATTTTCCCCTACCTGAGCCCTGAAATCACCCCTCAACTACCCCAACATTAATGTTGAGACCTCCTCCTCTCCTAGATCCAGGGCTGACAGCACCTAGATGCTTTCTGAATGCAAACTTCCCATTTTACCCTAGCCCACCCCATTGCCCCACCCTTGCTCCAGCTCAACCAGAGCCACTCACCAGAGCACCGCACTCCAGCATCCTCCTTGTGGTTGCAGTTGTTCTGCCCCCAAGAATCTGCAGCACAATCCCACAGGGAGGATTCCCTGCCCCTGCACTGCACCTCATCCAGCCAGATGCTCCCATTTCCAGGCCCAAATGCCGCATTCTGCAGGGCCTCCAGGGCAGAGCCACAGCCCAGCTGTTGACACACCACCTCGGCCTCTGCCAGGCTCCACGAGTCATCACACACTGTGCCCCAGGAGCCCTCGTGCCAAACCTCCACTCGCCCTGAGCACACCGTGTCTCCTCCCCTCAGTCGGAGCTTCTCTTTGTCTGAAAAGGCAGCAGCACCTTCTGCTACTGCCCCTGCTGGGAAGGCAGGAGCTCTTGGGAGCCAACAGGGGAGGCAGGAGGGGCTGATGTACCTGTGCAGGGGGCAGCAGTTGGACAGCTCTTGGGTCTCACTCCTGCAGAAGCAGACAAGGGGGAAGTGCTAGATCAGGGACAGCTGGGGGTGGTCTTGCCCCAAACAAGATTATCTTAAGTGCTTGGCTCAGTCCAAATGACAAGTGAAAATAACTGGCTTCGTAATTAATCTAACAGGCTGAGTTACTGAGACACTCACTAAATCATAGCCGATATCACCACCTGAAATTATTTTATCCATTTACTTGTTTATCACTTTCCACATTCCACAATAAATAAAACACAGACACGTGTGCATGTGCACACACACACACACACACACAAACACACACACACAAGCTCCACAAAAGGAAACACCTTGCATGTCTTATTCACCTCCGTGTTTCTGCTATTAGGACATGCCTGCCATGTTGTATGCATTCATTCAACAAGTGTGCATTGAGAACCTTTTATAAATACTATGTATAGGGGCTTGATAAATATTTATTGAATGAATGGGTGAATAAAATCCAGTAAAACATAATTCCTTTAAATTCTTGCTAATAAGTAAGATAATAGAGGAAATACAAATTGATATTAATGGTTTGTGGTAATAATAGTGGATATTTTGTTAATGTCCAGAATCACAGAAGCAATTTGCATTCAGTGTTCCATTTGTATTTTTAATGGGAAATTATATAACAGATTATAAACTTTCCTTATCTATTTTTTGTTATGACATGTGCACAAGCAAAGATTACTATATTAAGAGGATACTTTTTGTAAAGAACTGGAATAAGGAGGACTCAGAGAAAAATGGTTAAGTAGACAAATGGCTAAGTAGTAAGCAGAAATGTTTGCATGATACTCAAATATACTGACAAAAACTACATGGAGAGGGGACACAGATAACAAACATGGGACCAAAAAATGCATAAAAAATTGAAACCAAAAGAAAAACAGAAATTTGAAACAATACAAGAAAATAGAAGTATACATGGTACTTGTCATAAAATATCAGAATTGGTATACTCTTTCCATATCATTCTATCCAACTTTCTACCCTATGAACATCTCAGAAAATGATAGCAGGACCCCTTTTGGGTGGTTGCTCACTTTCAGGACTGGAGACTTCACTATCACTCAACTCATTGCGTTTGATTGTAGAAAATTATCATCAGTGTAAGGTCTTATAGCTTAATATCCATTTGGCTTTTCACAGGAACAAGAAAAGGAGGTGAGGAAAGAGAAGGAAGGAAGAGAGTGAGCCTCTGCCTTTGAAATATCTATCACCACGCTCTCCCTTGGCTGTGGACTTCAGACAACTCCCAGGATATACCTGAGCTGGCAGGGAAGGAGGAGGGAGAAATAAGGAACTGGAAAAGAATGTTGAGGGAGGGGAAAACACTGTAAAATGCAAAAAAAGTAAGGAAGGGAGGGAGGGAGGGAGGCAGAAAGGAAGGAAGGAGAAAGAAACCAGGAGCAAAGCAACTGTTATCCTTATTTCAGAGTTCAAATATTTTAGCATGAGACATAGGTTTTCTAAGCTTATTGATTTGGGAGCTTCTATATCATTTGGCTTTAGTTTAATACTCCAGTTTTTTATAAACCCAACCATTTTCTCTAGATATGAAGAAGACAATTGAAAAGAGTCCCCAGAAGTAATTTGACAATATCTATTAAAATTTATGTGTGTGTGTATTCTTTGATCTAATAATATCAACATTGAGAGTAATCCTACAGTAAAAAACTCACCTGTATGTAGAAATACATGTACAAAAGGATTATTATGGAAGAGGGAGGAGAATCACCATGAGCTGCTCCAAGGGTAGGACTCTCACTGATGGATGAAGGGTTTAAGGAGGCAGGTTTATATTGTTTATAAAAAGGGAAAATCAAAACCAATCAGACTACCAATAAACAAGTAAATGGTTACACGAACTGGACTAGCAATCTCTGATGACTGGAATATTATACCACTGATTTACAAATGAGTTAGATCTACCTGGAGGAATAGCCATGATATATTAAGCAATAGAAGCTAATATAACAATAATGTGTGTGATATAATCCCAATTTTGTAAAATCAAATAACAAGATACCATCAACATAAACCCTTTAAGGATATATGAGTTTGGATATGTTTCAATGAAAATGGATGATTTTGGAAAACAGTACTTACCAGTCCATTAATCCTGTTTACAACAGAAGGGTACAAATAGACAAGGGGTCATGGGCTGTGATTCATTTCTCTTTCTACATTTTTTGTATATATTTGTTTTTGTAATTTAAGCGAACAAGAAAGGACCTGGTCTCTCTCTCTCTAAGCATAAAAGAAACTAGTGGAAAGAACACAATTTCCCTAGTGCCAAGCATGATACAACCCCAGCAGGAGCAGATGTTACTGATTCAGGAAAGACACACAAAGATAGGCAAAAATGGATATAAGGGAAGGTGCTGTCCATCCCATCGTGACTCCAGTGTTCTATTACCTGACAGTATTGTTCATTCCCCGAGGGGCCATCACAAGGTGAGATACCTTTATGGACCCAAATCTGCCTCCTTGCAACCCCTATCCATCAGCTGGTGTCCTGTCCCTGGATCAGCTACTTCATGGTGATTCTTCTCCCTCTTCCATGGTAAAGTCCTTCAAAGTTCAACAATCAAGTTACATTTATTCTGGCATTTCTGCTAACTAGCCTAATTACAGACTTCTTATGACATGGTTTCTGGTTGTTTCTGCACTGGAGACACATGCCCTCAGACAATGAAGTGTGCCTGTGTCACTTCTCAAAGTAGATCACCCTATTACACAACAACAAATTAATCCACTTGGCAATTAAAATAAATCTATTTCCAGCATTGGGCACCTGGGTGGCTCAGTTGGTTAAGCAACTGCCTTCAGCTCAGGTCATGATCCTGGAGTCCCGGGATCGAGCCCCGCATCAGACTCCCTGCTCAGTGGGGAGTCTGCTTCTCCCTCTGATCCTACCCCCTCTCGTGCACTCTCACTCTGTCTCTCAAATAAATAAATAAAATCTTTTTAAAAATAAATAAAAAATAAATCTATTTCCAGCATCGAATACTACACTTCAGCACCTTACTTCTCACTCTTTGCCCTTCACTGTTTCTCAAAAGCATTGTATACAATTCTAACCATCACCTTATTGATATTTTTATTTCTGGTTTCTACCCCACCTCAAAAATGTTCTCATTAAACAGTCAATAACATACAATGCCCAAAATCTATTGGGTACTTTTCAGCTCAAATGTTCTTGAAGCCTTAGTAGAATTTAATATATATCACCATCCCCCTTTCCTTGAAACTATTTTTTTAACCTGAGTTCCAGACACTGTATTTTCTGGGTTCTTCTCTCTCTGTCTGCTCTGCATCCGATTCCATGTCAGTTTATAGAGCGTACTAGCTTTTAAAAGTTAGTGTTCCTTGGAGCCTGTCTTAGGAGCGTTTATATTCCCAGTGATCCCAACCACTCCTATCTAACAATGAGGTGGAGTGACTGCCAAGAGAAAGCAAAATGAGAAGGAATGAGAAGTGAACCTGCTGAACACTGCTAAAAGTTCATGAATACTGGAGAGAGAAAAGTCTCTTACCTTACCAATTCAGAGGAATGGTGGACCCTAACACTTAACTGGATGAGTTCAGAATAGTAGAAGAGGGAAAATTGTGAAGACTGTGAGTGGTTACTGACCATAGTTTCAGAAACATGGCTAAGGAGGAGAGAGAAGGGGGATGGACAGTAGCAAGGAAGTCAAGGAAAACTGTTTGTTCAGGTATTTTTCAAGATGTGAGACACACAAACCCATATATATATTTATGAGAATAAACCAAGAGACAGGGGGCAGTCAATGGTGCAAATTAGAGGGAATAGATGTGAAGACTTGGACAAGTGCAGTTAGGATCCACAGCCTCAGCAGAAGAGCTGGCCTAATACTAGGACTGAGGTCACTGATCCAGGAGGCCAAGTGAGTACAGAGTATGTGCAGAGACCACAGATAAGTAGACTTGGTAAAAGGGAGATGAGGAGTTGGCAGCTGACTTTTCTAGTTTTTCAATGAGATAAGAGGCAGATCATGATTTGAGAATAGATGGTGGGGATCAGGTGTTGACAATGTGAGGAGAGCAGAAAATATGTAAAATATAATTTTAAAGACAGGGCAAGCACACACACACAAAAAAAGATAGGGCAAGCAAGCATACTGAAGGAGTACAGTAGTACTCAGAGACACTGTGGAACTCCCATTAGAGATTGTGTCGGTGAACTCAAAAGTAGGCTAGCAACTTGACTCTGTGTTGTTTTCCTGCCTTTGCCTTAGTCCAGGGCAGACAAGGAGTACTCAGGCAGTTGACGTTAACCAGGTGAAGTTTGCCAGGTGCATTTGACAAAGAGGAGGCAAGGAAGTTGAATAAATTTAAGGAGAATGATTATAATGTTGGATCATATTATCTAATCTGGCTAAGAAAAAGATGTGCAGACATGAGGAAAGTAGAAAAGTAAGAAAAACTGATAGGGGAAAAGATTGGGTATCTCCATGGGGACAAGAAATTATTTGAAACAGAGCATTCTGGGTTAGGAGCCATAAGGATAGGAAGCATTGGTCAGATAATGGAATAAAGGAATCAAGATTTCAAGCTGTACAGTTATTGGTGGTCAGTGGTATATGCATAGGCAGAGATAGGATGGAAAGAAAGGTGCTTAGAAATGAGGAAGTCAATGAACTAAGAGGCCAGAATGCTGTCTCAGTTGTGTTTAAGGAGGTTGTAGTAAGTTCCAATGGTTCCAGGAGTAAGACAGAGATGAGGAACCTGATGCGTCTGGTGCTGCAGTCTTCAGTGGACAAGGGGAGTGACCAGAAGATTAGGATGATGACAGCAACAAGTACAAGTACTAGGCGGTATTGTCTCATGGCATGAATTTCAAGTAGCTGGATGTTGAGAAGAGAGACAGAAGGGGAATTGTTGAAAGTGACAACTGAGAGCGAGAAGTATACCTATTCCAAGTCTCGGCCCAGAGAAAAGTGTGTTGAGAGGAAAAAAGGAGCCTCCAGTTGACAGGGAAATCAGTGTTTTCAGGGAAAAGTCAGGTTTTGATCAGAATGTGAAAGTGAAGGGAACTTGGAGGGCATAAGAGAGTTTGAAGAGGATGGGCTCCAAATTCCAGCAGGTTCTGCAAAACATTTTGAGAGGGTGAGATGAGGGGGACAGATTAAGTACATGGTAGTTAATAAAAGGCCCAGAGGATACAGGATCAGCCCCCGAAAACGGTGAACCTGAGGGTCTCTTAGAAGAGACAAATTCAAGCAGAAAGTCATGGGGACATGAGGCCACTGACTTCTCAGCAGTTCTCCACGATGAGGCAGTCAAGAAGATAAATTCCTCTTTAACAGGAATGTCTTCCTGGGCCCTGACTCAGAGAGGTCTCTGGCTCTGCTCATCATTCCAGGGGAACCCTGCAGCCCTTTCCCTCATCCTTTTCAGCTCTGGCCGTGATGGGATTTTCTCAGTGCCTCAAAGACACCATGTTTCCTCCCACCTCAGTATGTACGCTGACCCAAGTGATCTCTCCACTTTTTTCCTCTGAGAAACTCTTACCCTTCAGCTTTCCATCTAAGTATTTCTTCTTTTACCCCAACTCCACACTTCCACAGCACTTTCTAACTCTTCATGAAATTTCTGCCTAATGAGAGTTTTCAACACTGGACTGTAAGCTCCGTGATAGTGGAGACTATATTTTCTTCTCTTCTCCATCCTCCTACCTGCAGCATAAATTTGTGCCTAGAAGGCACTCAGTTACTATGTACCAACAAACTGACTGAAGAACCAATCTGGTGCCAATTGGTATCTGGCATTCCAGAGTAAAATACCATTAGTTTAAGAGACAAAACGATCAGGGTTGATTCCTCATTGACCCTTATTTACTTTAATGTGTTGGGATATCACTTAACTATTCCTAATTAATAGCAATTGCTTAGAAAGTTTATCAGGGTATTGCTTATGTTCAATGCAATCCTTCTGGTATTTTTCATGAAACACAAGTTTCCTTATTTTTTACTGTGAAACAAGATTGGAAAATGTAAGTTAAATAATCATCTAAACTTCATTTGTAGTCTTATCTTAAACTCATCCCTTATTTTGAAGATATAAATCTCACTAACAACATCCTACAGGACTGGGACAGACACATAGAAACAGTAAGTTACCTGCACACGAGATATAAGCTTCCTCTTTTGAAGAGCATGAGTTTTGTCTCCAGGAGTCAGAAGGACATTGCCAGAGAGAGGAATCAGTTTTCCGACACTGGATTTGATCCACCCACCGATGTCTAGAACCTTCCCTGGGAACTATGGAAGAGTTGAGGGTCCCACTGTTTCCACAGCCAAGCTGTCTACAGATGATGGACAAGGTGATGTCTGCCATGTGGCTGTGGCAGACACTGCCCCACGTCCCATTGTAGAAAACTTCCAGCCACCCAGCACACTGCTGGTCCTCGCTCACCAGCCTGAGGTTCAGGAAGTCTAAATATGAAAGGGGAGAGAGGGGGAAACAGTCCACAGTAAACATTCCACTCAACGTTCTTGATTTTTTTCCTCCATGCCTGTGATTGTGAACACTCATCACTGACTCTTCTGAGGAAGCACCCACTAGGTGGCAAGACTGAAACTGATCTCCCTTTTAACTGATTTTGTGCATTTGTGTCTGTGTTTCTATTTCCACCACAATGATGTAGTAGAATATGAACAGAGAGGCATACCCACCTGGGTACTCTACACAGAGGGAAAGCTGAATCCTGCTTCCTGACAAAACTTCTGACAGAGTATGTGAAAGGGAGTGTGGAAAGTGGGGTGGTAGGCAGAATAATGCCCCCCCACAAGGTGCTGTGCAAATATGTTACCTTACATGTCAAAGGAGACTTTACAGATGTGATTAAGGTAAGGACCTTGGGATGGTGAGATTAACCTGGAGTAGTGCAGGTTAAGCAGGTGAGCCCAAATCCAATCACATCCTTAGACCTAATATCCTTAAAAATGGGAAGTCTTTCCCAGCTTCAGTCGGGGAAACATGACTGTGGAAGAATGGTCAGAGGGAGGCAACGCTGTCAGCTTGAAGAGCAAGAAAGGGAGCTACCTACCAGCCAGTGAATGCACATGGCCTTAAGAAACTAGACAAGACAGGGAAAAGGAATCTCTCCCAGAGCCTCCAGAAAGAATGCAGCCCTGTTGACACCTTGATTTTAGCCCGGTGAGACCCTTGTTGGACTTCTAACATGCAAAACTATAAATTAATAAGTTTGTGTTGTTTCTACCACTAATTCTGTGGTAATGCGTTTCAACAGCAACAGGATCTCAAGACTGTACCACCATAGAGAGCTGAAGATCGAGCCCTGCTTTCCAATGGGAACTGTAGGAAATGGTTCTGTCAGGAGCTCTTACTGAGAAAGAAGGACCTGAACATCAGCTGCCGCAGAAGGAAAAGAAAGCACCTAATCTTCATTTCTAGGAAGACAGGCAGTGTGGAAGGAAGTCTTCCTCTCCTCTGGCCCTTCAGCAACACCCCTCAGGGCTCAGACTCCCGTCCTCCATAGCCCCCACCTCCTGGCCCAGCCTGTGGGCAGCGTGCGGGCAGACCTGAGCAGATGACCCCTGCGTCCTCCTTGTGTCTGCAGTTGTGCTGCCCCCAGCCCTGGGAAGGGCACTTCCAAATGTGGGACTCCTCTCCTGTGCACTTCAGGTCGTCCAGCCAGATAGGGTCTGATCCCTCCCCGAAGTGAGCAGAGACCGTGGCATTGAGGGCTGCCCCGCAGCCCAGCTGTCTGCACACCACGTGGGCATCCCTCAGGTCCCAGCTGTCACCACAGATGGTGCCCCAGGAGCCCTGGTGAAGGATCTCCACTCTGCCGGCGCAGGGACCGCCGCCATCCACCAGGCGGAGCTGTCTGCTATCTGAGGAGAGAATCAGGCCACTGGAACATTTCACAGGAAAGGAGAAGGGCTTTCTGGTCCCCTGGGACCCCTCACCTGAGCAGGTGGCAGCACTCTCCCGTGAGGCTGCAGAGCCTGCGGGTTCAGACACAGAGTCGTTGCACTGGGGCAGCACTTGGGTCTGGTTTCCTGCAGAAACAGCATGGTCAGAGAGTTGGTAGGGTTGAGGAACAGGAAACTGAATTAAACTAAAGAGTAACCTAGGGCTGGGGTCTGAGATGAAAGCTGTAACATAACAGTAATGTTACCATAATTTTAGACTTCACCTCTTTATGGGAAGTTCTGCTTCTGACAATGCCAGATTAGTTTCAAGCCAAGTGCTTCACTAAGAATGAATTTTTGAAAGTAGGGCTATATCAGTATTGCTTGAAAGTGGTGAAGAGCTACCAAGACAGTGAGAATTTTTGGAGCCAAGCTCCGAGAGAAAAGTAAAGGGCAGACGTGAGCCACGTGCCCCTTGAGTCCTTTGTCAATTCAAAGATTATAGCTAAGAGGCTGCAAAGTTCAGCAGAGGTTTTGCCAGACTCATAGGGCTCAGAGGGTACAATGTATAATTCAGGGTCAGCCAAGGAGGACGCACCCTGAAACCAGAGCCTTTGTACCATAGAAGGAAAAGTGAACTAAAAGTAGACTATTCTTCAGAGGGATAGATGCCCAGTGTCTAAGTGCTTCAATTCCCTTAAACAAAGTGATCTGTCCATAATCATTTGCCGGGAGGAGGAAAATAAAATCCTTTCTGAAAGATTTCTATAATTTTTCATCTAAGATGTCTGTCAATCAAAAATACCCAGGCAAGGGGTGCCTGGCTGGCTCAGTCTGTAGAACATGCAACTCTTGATCTCAGGGTTGTGAATTCGATCCCCACAGGAGGGGTAGAGATTACATTTAAAATAAATTAAAATTAAAAAAAAAATACTCAGCCATAAAAGAGAAGAGATTTGACAAAAATCCAGAAGGATAAAAGAGGCACTGGAAAGAAATTTACAGGATATCCAGTTATTAGAGTAACCTGACAAGGAGTTTAAATTACCATGATTGAAATGTTCAGGGAATTAAAGATAGAATTTTGAAAGAGAAATATTAACAAAAAATCAAATAAAAATTCTAGAACTGAAAAAGTCAATATTTGAAATAAGAACTCAAAGGATGAGCATAATAGCCCATTAGATCAGGACAAGATAGAAACAGTAAAATGGAAAATCAGAAGGAAATACAACAAAAATGAGGCCCAGAAAGGCCAAAAAGTGGAAAATATAAGCAAGGACACAAAGCCATGCTGAAAAAGTCCAACATTCATATTTACTAAGTCCTAGATATATAAAGGCACAATGTACAGAACTAAAAGTAGAAATCTAAAAATCCACAATCACTTATTTCATATACCTTGGTGGTTTTTAAACATACCCCAAAATCTTTGACACTGCATCCTTGGAGAGGTGGGCATCTATGCTTCCTTCCCTTGAATTTTGGCTGGCCTTCACGAGTTGTTTGTAAGCAATGGAATGCAGTGAAAGTAATACTACTTGACTTTCAAAACTAGGTGAGAAAAGTCAGGCAGCCTCCCCTGAACTCACTTAGGACATTTGCTTCTGGGGAAATCTACCCTGAGGAGACTATCGTGCTGGAGAGACTATCATATGCAGGTGTTCAGGTCAACAACCCAGCTGAACATTCCAGCTGCCAGACATGTCAATGCGCCATCCTGGATTCCCAGTTTGTATCCAGCAATGTTATAATTAGACTGTAACTTCTAATAATCTAACTATAGATTCTTTTGGGTTTTCTGCACTTAAGCAATTTTTGGAATCATGTTGTAAGTTTTATTTCTTCCTTTCTAGTTCTTATACTTTTAATTTTTTTTTGCTCTCTAAAATTGGTAGTAGATATTAATATCATCTCCATCATCCCAGGGAAAAAATATTTCAATATTTCACCATCAGTGTGAAATTTGCTCTGGATTTTTGTTATATGGCCTTTAACAGACTGAAGGAAATTCCTTCTATTTTCAATATGCTAAGAGATATTATCATGCTTCTTGAATCTTTTCAAATGTCTTTCCACCTCTGATGAAAAGAGTATGTGGTTCCTTTTTTGTTTAGTTTTGTTAATTGGTATATCTTATACTAACTGCATTTCTGGGACAAACTCTATTTGGTTGTGGTGTATTAATTTTTGTACATCTTTAGATTCAATTTGCTAACATTTTCTTCATGAATACTGCATGCATATAGGAAAATTGCTCTGTAATTCACCTTTGTTCTAATGTCCCAGTCAGATTTTTATATTTATGGTCCTTTCTGATATTTACATGATTCTTGCAACTTTTCTGTAAGTTTGTGTTTATTTAAAAACAAAAAGTTTAGTACATAGGGGGAAAAAAAGAATTAACACCCAATCTTCCAAAGAACTAAAAAGAGAGAATAATTCCTACCTCACTTATAAGAGTTGGAAAAGTGTGTCTGTAGGAGGTAGTAAACTCAGGAGCCTCTTATGTCACCATCTTGGATTAGATCATCAAGGTTTTTTTGGTGAAAAATGACAAGCTAATTCTAAAATTTATATGGAAAAGACCGAGAATGATCAACACAATTGAGAAGAAAGACAACAAAGTTTAGAGGTGTAACTTTACCACATATCAAGACATACTACAAAGTTATAATAATTTCTGAACTGGGGCATTCATGCCAGAATAGACAAGGAAACAATAGAACAGATTAGAGTCCAGAAGAAGACTCAGACATACTATAGACTCATTATGACAAAGGTGGCAGGGAAAGTGTCTTTTTACGGAAGCATTCTGAGTCTATTGGATATTCATAGAAAAATATGAAATTTGATGCCTATCACATATGAAAATCAATTCCAGGACTATACAGTTATACGTGAAATAAAGATAACTAAACCATAGAGGAATATCTTCAGGATCTTAGGGTAGACAAAGTTCTCTTCAAAGGACATAAGAAGCTCTTTATGCAAAAAAAAAAAAAATTGATAAACTGAACCTTGTTAAAGTGAGGAGCTTGGCTTATCAACAACACCATTAAGAGAGTAAAAAGAAAGGCAAGAGTTAAAAACCCAAAATAAATACATACATATTTGTACCACAAGTCATTGTCACAACTATCTATAACATTACTACTTGTAATAATTAAGAACTGGAAATAAATCAAAACTCCACCATCAGTTGATGGATCAATACCTGGTCACATGGTCATTCAATGGGATACTTTACAATAATAAAAATGAGTGAGGCACTGCTATAAACAACTACATGCATGAATTGCACACATAGTATGGAACCAAAGAAGTTAGATGCAAAATGAAACATACTATATGATTTTATATGAAGTTCAAAATAGAAAAAACTATTCTATAGCATAGAAGTGAGGAGACTGGTTTTCTTCAGACAGGAGGGTGGGCATAGTGACTCGTAGGGTATGAATGTGGCTTCTGGGGTCCTGCTAATGATCTCTTTGTTGATTTGGGTTGGGGTTACACAGTTACTGTGTACACACTTACTACTTACATACTTTCTCTGTAAATAATACTCAGCTATATTTAAATAATAGTGTTAATTTTAAAAGATATCCCTCTTAATATGAAGAGAAATGAAATCAATGAAGAGATGTATCAATATGTATCAATCAATATGAAGAGAAATATCAGTGAAAAGAACCATATTTTATCATGGATTATCTCATTTTTAAAATAATTTTTCCACACTCTCTGCTCTTAGGGACATTTCACTCAAGGAGCAGCCTGAGTACCAGTTAGTCCTTTCCTCTCTCTTACCTGAACAGATCACCGAGGCTGTGTTTCCATGGGTACAAGCAGGAATGCCCAGGGCAGTCACAGGGCAATTCCACAAAAAAGACTCAGCCCCTGAGCAGTGAAACCGAGCTTCCCAAATCTTATCACCTCCTTCCACAGAGTATGCTCCTTCTGGAGTAGAGACAGCGACTCCACAGCCAAGCTGTTGACAAACAACATTGGCATTGGCCATATTCCAGTGTGAGGCGCAAAGCATTTTCCAGTGTCCAGAAATATGCATCTCCACTTGTCCCTCACACTGAGAGATGCCATTTTTCATGAGCCGGACTTCTGTGTACACTAGTAGGAGAAGACAAGATTTCAGCCAAATCTCATGTCTTTTTTACCCTGGGAGAGTATTGTGGCAAGGTTGAAGTCCCACTCTGCATCTCACCTGAACAGAAAACTTGAACAGCCCCACGGTGGCAAGCACCTCCTGGACAGGACTCACTGTGGCAAAGCCAGAGCTCAGGTTCATGTCCCTTACACTGGAATTCTTTAGGCCAGACTCTATCTGACTCTCTGAAGGACACATCCCCCAGGAAAGAAACAGCTTTGCCACACCCTAGCCCTGCACATATGACCTGGGCGGTGAGTAATGTAAAGTTCCCATCGGACAATGGAACCCAGTCTTTTCCAGAATGCACTTCTACCTGCCCTAAGCAGGGTCCATCCCCTCCAGCTAGACGCACAAATCCTAAAAGAAAAAAGAAAACCAAACCAAGTAAGTGTTCATGATTCTTGCTTGGCAGTTAGAAGTGACATGTCAGGGACAATGATATATGACCATGACATGTCATAATAAAAGTTTTCTTTTCCCAGGCATTGGGAATGAGGAGAGGACTTAATAGTTGGTGTCAGAATGGGACCTCCATGAGTCAGTTTCTGAAGACAGATTATTTGGAGTAGCTGAATACTAGGAAAATATATTTTGGGGTTGGTTAGAGAAGTGATTTCCTCATCTGAGCCCAAGGAAACTGCATAATATGTAGGCATTCAAACTTGAGTACAGAAGTATGAAGAACAAAACCAAACCAGAGAGATATGGGCTATAAGATGGTAGAGATCTATCAGCCAGACAAGGTTAGAAAGTCATCCTGAGACTTGTGGGGCTCAAATTCTGGTCAGCTTTCTTTCCCAGGAGACAACCCTCAAGTGACTGAAGATAGGGAAAACCATGAGGTCTGTATCCATGAATGCATGACAGCCTATAGACAGACTCAATATTTGAAATATAGACATTATAACCAATCCATAATTGTGAGTACAAATTTTATCTATCTGATAATTTTTTATGGCAAAATATTCCATGAACTTCTTATGTTACCTAAGTGGGAAAGAAGATGAATCTGGATGTTAAGAAAGCTCAGAGAGTCGGGAGAGGAAGGGCGTGGTTCGAGCTGTCTCTCTTGAAACCCTAGGATATGAAAATAGCCTCCTTCCAATCCATGAACACAAGATAACTTTTCCATTTATTTGTATATTCTTTCGTTTTCTTCATCAATGTTTTACTTTTTTTTAATTTTTAAAGAGTAAGCATTAAAAACATGCAGAAATTAGACAGATGATTGAATTAGCTGACAAAGTCTTTAAACCATTTATATAAATATACTCAATGAAACATAAAGCAGATTTTTAAAAACTAGAAAAAAGCTAAATGGAACTTCTAAAACTGAAAAATACAATATCTGGAATGAGAAATTATCTAGATTAACTTACAAGAGATTAGACATTGCAGAATAAAAGAATTATGAAGTTAAACAGAGAACAACAGAAGCTTTCTCTCTGAAGCACAAAGAGAGAAGATAGAAAAATCACCTGTGAAAATGCATTTCAAAACTGAATGAAGATAAAAATGTCTTCAAATAAATAAAAAATGATAGAACTTGAGGCCACCAGAACTGCATTACACAAAAGTGTTACAGAAAGTTCTTCAAGCTAAAGGAAAATAGTAACAGATGAAAACGTGGATCTACCCAAAGCTATAAAGACTACTGTAAATGATAAATCTGTGGGTAAATATAAAAAACTTTGTATCATTTTAAAATAATAGAATATTTCAGACAAATATAACAGCAATGTGTTATAAGATTTATAATATATTTATAAGTAAAATCTATGACAATAGCACAAATGACAAGAAGAGGGAAATGGAAGTATACCGTGGTAAGGTCTCCCATTATATATTGTGATATAATATTATTTGAAGTTAAAATACGATTAAAGAGTAATAATTTTAACATTATGGTAAATCTAAAAAACATTAGAATTACCACAAAGAATACATTAGATATGATATATCTAATAAACCAACAGAGTAAATAAAATAGAATACTAAAAATACTCAAAGATTAAAATAGGAACAAAGAATACATAAGACAAATAGCAAGTTAGTAGACTTAAACCCAAGCATATCAATAATTACACTAAATTGAAATAATTTAAATACTCCAAATAAAAGCAAGATAATCATACTGAATAGAAGTAGGACACCACTTCAATTATATCTCAATAAAACTAGGGAAAAGGAGTAAGACTCACCATATACTGTCCACAAAAACATATATACATTAAATATAAACACAGAAACAGGGGTGCCTGGGTGGCTCAGTCAGTTAAGCATTTGAGTCTTGATTTTAGCTCACGTCATGATCTCAGGGTTTGTGAGATCAAGCCCTGCATCTGGCTCCACACTGAGCATGGGGCCTGCTTGAGATTTTCTCTCCCTCTCCCTCTACCCTTCCCCCCTCTCTTTAAAATCAAATTAATATTAAAAAAATAAATACAGAAACATATTAAAAGTGTCAGAAAAGATAGACCATGCAAGTACTAATCAAAGAAAGCTGTTGTTTTCTATGTTAATATCAGACAAACTAAGACTATAGGGCAAGGAATATATTTAAAAATAAAGAA